CCCTCCCCCACCCCCTCCTTTCCCGCATATTTTCCCCTTTTTAAGCCATGTTGCAGCGGAAGCCCTAAGGAAAGCTGGGATGTGGGTGCGTGCGCTGGAAAAAACAGGCAAAAAAAAAAAAATCCGGAAAACGCCGAAAAAGAAACCCCACAACTCCCTCCTCCACCCCGCAGCTTTGCATCCTGCTGTTTCCCATCGCAAAAGAGCAGCTCGGCTCCCCAGGGACGAAGGGAACCCCCCTGCCCGCCCTTGTCCCCAAGTGCAGGGACTGGGCAGTTCAAGGCACACGGTGCTGTAAGTAATGGCAAAGGCCTCCAAGAAGAATTTGCAGGAGGAGCAGCATCCAAACTGCTCAGTTTCTCCAAACATAGCAGCTGCAGGACGTTAGGGCTCGCTGAGAGCTGCGCTTCAGCCCAGGCCTCCCCTGTGCCGTCCAGCATCGATCCTCCGGCTTGGGCACAAGCCCAGCAAAAAACAATTCCTGGAAGGAGATGCTGGAGCGGCGAAGCCGTCCTGATGCCAGGTCTGTACAAAAGCAGAGAAACCTGGATGTATTTGCCATTTGATCCCCCTTTGTGTATGTTTAAGGGGTGATTTCGTGGTTTCATGTGCTGCCTGCAGCGGTTTGAGGATGTAAAAGTTACTGCGAGCGAGGCAGAGAGTTAGCAAAACACTGAAGTAGCTGGGCATCGATCCTCCGGCTTGGGCACGAGCCCAGCAGAAAACAATTCCTGGAAGGAGAAGCTGGAGCGGGGAAGCTGTCCTGACGCCAGGTCTGTACAAAAGCAGAGAAACCTGGATGTATTTGCCATTTGATCCCCCTTTGTGTATGTTTAAGGGGTGATTTCGTGGTTTCACGCGCTGCCTGCAGCGGTTTGAGGATGTAAAAGTTACTGCGAGCGAGGCAGAGAGTTAGCAAAACACTGAAGTAGCTGTTTTGTAAAATCCTTATTAAGCTTTGGCTTCGTTCCTGCTGTTTTGCTCTGTCCGCATGACCAGGTTTGGGGAGAGCTGTTTGTGTGAGCTGCAGAAGCAGCATACAAGTGTGCTCTCCAGTTTTGAGCTGTTCTCAGCAGCACTTATTTGGACAGAAATCCCCATTCGTTGGCACCCACCTTTGCAAATACCACTAGTTTTAGTGGGTGGTTTTGCACACAGACACTCGGACCCCATAAATTTCAGAGAAGCTGGTTATGCCCAAACTCACCTGAGAAACACAAGTGGTGCTTCTGAGCTCAAATGTAGGAAAAAAAAAAAAAAAAGGTGTATTGCACCTTTCTTAGGATTTTGGATTAGATCAAGGAGGAAAGATCAAAGTTCTAGCTTTTTTTGACTTTTTTTTTCTTCCACCTTCCTTGGAAATATTATATTACTTGCAGCAGCTGGCATTTCAATGTGTTTATTTTTCCAGTCTTCCTAGCAAGAATACCAGGCCCTGGAAAAAGTATCAAAACACAAGCATCGTATAAGCTTGCTACAGTGAGTGCCACCTATAGCCCCTTAAAACAACTTACCAGTAACTATGCTCGAGACAGGAGAGGCTGTTGGGCCACAGAGCCTCTCCTGCCTCACAGAGCCTCACCTTTGTATTTCCAAACCACTGTGCTTAATTGATTTTGCTTTGCATTTGATAGCTCCCATGCCAGCAGCTATTCCCATTTCACAAGCAGGCTAATAAAAGCCCAGAAGCTGATGTTTCCCAAGGCCATGCAAGTAGTTTAAGCAGGGTTTTGATTTCCTGAATGCCAGGCCTATCTGACAACCTAAGATCATCTAGAGTCTGCTTCTAATTGCTTCATTAGCTCATTCTTATGTAGAGTGGGTTTTTTTCAAATTTTTGATACATTTCATTTTATAGCCTTGTGGGGTATCGAACAACAGACTTAAATCCAAGGGAAACAGGGACCTTCAAAAACCCCCAGTTGGGAGCTTGATCTTCTCCATACCAAACTCCCAGTTTTAACAACAACAACAATAACATTTTTTTCTGAAATTAGGTGCAAATGCTAATGACCTCCCTCCATAGCACCCCTCAGTGGGGAATTAATATTCCCAACCTTTCCCTGGAGAAACAGAAAGCTCTGGAAGGTTATGTGGCTTCTTTGGGTTGATGCAGGAGAAGGGTGACAAGACCTCTTTAGCCAAGCCTGAGGCAGAACTATCCCAGTGTCTCCCTGCAGATAAATTTATGGTTTTAGAGCCAAACTCTTTAATAACTGTCTCCAATTTAAATGACAAAGAACAGGCTTTCTGTTCTGTAGACCTTCCAAGTTGCTCTGAAAGAGAAATCTCACAGTTGGCAACTCATTAGTCCTAAATTGTACCAGCTAATGGTTCAGTGAGTTTTGAGGGGCTTGTTACTGGTTAAATATATTGAAACAACAAGAAATGTTCAGCATCCTTCATCGCGCTGTTTAGGAAAAAAAATAGTAATTGTTCAGGGCTGTGCTTTGTTTATTAAATTTGTGTCCTGTGAAGTATGAAACTCAAATGTCGTCAATTCTTTCAGGAGGAAAATGAGATCCCTGCCAGTGTTTTCTCAAAGGAGCCCGTTCCCAGCGTTACAGAAGGAAAGGAAGAGCCTGTGGATGAGAACAAAACCCTGGAAGAAACCTTGCATACAGTGGAGCTGTCATCTGATGATGAGATGCCTCACGATGAAGGTGATATGGAAGACAGTGCGGAAGAGAAGGTCGAAGAGTCGCGGGCCGAGAAGATTAAAAGGTCTGGCCTCAAGAAGGTAGACAGCCTCAAGAAAGCATTCTCCCGCCAGAACATCGAGAAGAAGATGAACAAGATCAGCACAAAGATCGTCTCGCCCGAGCGCAGAGAAAAGATCAGGAAGTCCCTCACTGGGCATCACCAGAAGTCCTCCTCTTCCAAGGCCTCGTCGCTCAAAGCATCTCCCCTCACGCTTAACGCGAAGACGGGCCAGGAGGGAGAGGGCGCCGCAGAAACCGAGGAGCGGCCAGCGGAATCCACCAGCAACGAGCAAGCCGAGAACGAGGAGGAGATGTCCTTCTCCGACATGCGTTCCGACGTGACGCCTACCGCGTCCCTGTCGGAAGAGAGCAAAGGCATGGCCGACTCTTTGGAGAAAGAAACCAGAATGGAAGAGAAAGCTCGGATCAACAGCAACATCGAGCTGTCCATCGTCGAGGATGACGAAGAGTATGGGATGCCTCTAGAAGTTTCTAGCCACAAAGCGTCCGAGGAGAGAAATGAGCCTGTCCGTGGTGAGATGGAAGAATCCGATGATGAAACAACCCAAGCAGCTGTCCTCCGGATAGACTAAATGGCCTAACGAATCTCAGCCTTCCCTCTGGTTCCAGATACCCACGGTTTAGGCTAGCAATAACCGGCGTATGATTCTGCCGCACACGTGCCAGCAGTAATTCAGTTCCTTCCGTGGTTTTCTCTGTAACGATAGCTTGCTGCATTGTATCGCGTGCAGAGCGAGCAAAGCCAACAGCACAAGCTGCTCCACTCCCGCCACGGATTTTAGGCCAATTCTCTGGCATTGCATAATTTAGAGCAGGCTGGTGAGCTGGGCCAGATAAATATATGGGGTATAGTCAAAAAACAAAGATTTTTGCTCTCTCTCCTTTTTCCCTATCACACCATTTCATAGCACTATGAGTAGTTCTGTTCGTAAACGTAGAAATACCAAAGAGAATGCTTTACTTTAGATTGCCTTGCTATGCTCCGAGTACACTAACAGATTCAGCAGCTACATACACCCTATTGCTCGTTTGGGGCGTTATGCTGTAGTATTACAGGAGCATTTAAAAAGTGAAACTGAAAAGTTGGTCCCATTGATGCCAACGAGGATGATGATTGCCAGTAGTCTCTTGGTGTTCGTCTGGAAGAAATGACAGGGTTTATATGGAACCAGAAGGATGTTATGTTGTTAGCAGAGTTATGCAGATATATTACTGACTAGTGTGGATGTGTAACTAGCTACTGTACCTTTAATGGGTCAGAAAGCAGGGAGGGGGGAAAAAAAGAATTTTATAGAATCACGGAGACAGTCTGAAGGAAGTCTGAAGTGCAATGAAATGTTAAAAAAGCCTACAATATTAAATCTGTACTTAGAGCTTAAAGAGTATATACTCAGATAACACTAGTTGTTCATTCTTACTCCTTATAGCAATATAGTATCCGACATTGCACCTGCACAACTTTGTATCTCAGAATATTTTGAAAAAGTAACATAATTTGTCTTTTTATAGATTATTTCTATGCAAAGCTATATCTACACAGAAGAATTATATAAATACAGGGATGTAAAGACTTTTTTTAAAAAAATAAAGGTGAAAATGCACATTAGGCATTCCCTCTAAAGGGAAAAAACATGGATGTGATGGCAAGAATGAGCTTACATAAAGGTGAGCCACAAGATTTGATTATCTGCTAATAACATGCATCAAAATGTGCTCTCAGAATTACACGTCCAACAGTTTTCACAATTCATGGAAATGAGAGGTTGCAGAGTAATTTTGTTCCCTGTGTATGCTCATTCCAGCCACCTGCAAAGGCAAAGGGGAGGGAAGAAAGGGAAGCACCCATAACAGTTACTTTGCATCCTTGTTTGTTTATGCAGTAGGGCTTTTTTATAGCATATATAGGCATATATAATTCTACCAATACTTTAACACTGCACTAAAAGATTGCATCTTTCGAGTTGCACTTAGAATCACAAATTATAGGGGAAATAAAAGCTACAGCAAGAAGTATCATTAAGAAATGATTAACAGACATTACTCCGCAGGAGTATTATCTATAACCAGTAAATCACACTGGAAATCAGTCAGTAAGAGCTTAGTGTAAGCAAGTGCTATAAAGAGTTAAGCTCTTTGGTATGTAGCACCATAGAGGAGGTATTGTTTGTTAAGAAAAATGGCATAACTCGTGCAGCTATATTTTTATTTGAATTAACTACAGTGGGTTTTGATCATTTTTACTTGTAACTAACTACAGATATGACAAATAAAAACATAACACGAAACATGTCCTGTCAGTTTTTGAGAGAAGCGGTTTTGGGAGCTGGCAGAGATTAAATGCAAAGGTCAAACATTTACAGCTCCAGTTCATGTCCCCGTTGTAGCTGTTGCATTTTCTTTCTCATCCTTGGTTGCCATTTGGAAATGCAAGTGCCAGGTCTCGGGCTCGGCTCTCCAGGCACTCTGCAAAACCTGCTGCCTCCATCTGCATTTTGTGTTGGACACCAGCATCTTTCTATCCCTTTACACACTCCTAAAAGCGTTATGGTATTTGATTGTATATTCTGTTTCATCACACAGATGAAGTCCTGTCTTCCAGAGCTCCACGCAGTCTTTAGGAGACTTAATGTAGCTGACAGAGCAAAGCACGTGTGTTTCAACCTCCATAGAGGAGCTTTCGGCCTTCCTGTGGCCGTGCAGTGCCAGGCAGGGACAGGCATTTCATTCTGGGATACCCATGCTCTGCCCACCTGCCTAAGCTCTAATTCCAGCACTAGCCCTGGAATATCCCCTTCATGCCACCTGGGAGATGCTGAGATGAGACTTGTGTGCAGCATTTTCGGAGCATGAGCCAGCTGTCTGGTAAAGCCACAGGCAATGCTGGCACGGGGCATCTTCAGGAATAATTCACATCGCTGCTTGGGGACGCACCGAGTACACAGGGAGCAGCTGTAGGGTGAGAATTAGACCTTTCCTCCTCGAAGGTTATGCGTTCACAAGAGCTGCTGCCTTCTTGGGGTGATGGGTCTGCCTACATAACCCCTTTAAAACACTGTGTGTTTACCCTTCTTGATCCTGTTAAAGGCCACAGCGCCTGTGCATTGGCTGCACACATAGGTGTGACCTGCAAAAGATAAGGTCTCAGAGGTTAAAATATACCCGTGTGCCCTTTACACTGGCACAACGAAGGCCATTTTTCATGCAATTTTTGGCTGCAATGCCAACGCGTTACCTGATGGATTGATGATGTTTTAAAGAAAGTTAAGTGCAGAATTACTCAAATAATGACAATTTGTTAGAGTGCCAACCATTCACCAAGGGGTTTGGTCCAAGCCTGAAAGTCAGTGAAAACTCTCGTGCTGACTCAAAGGACCGTCTGGGCCACAGGGGCGGTTTTAAGCCATCCATGCAACTTCCATGCCCATCTGTAAGAGCTGTGTGAGGCCATGAGATCTCTCTGCAGAGCTCCCTAATCCGACCTGCTTAGCTCATCAACAGAATAAAAAGTTTCACTGCCATCAGCATTGCAGATGCAACACTGCTGGCGAGAGGCGAGCTCTAAATTCTGCTTTGCAGGGCGCATCATTAGCAAAAATTTCAAGCTACGTTCTGACCCCCGGGGTCTTCACCAGCAATAACTGCGCGCCGTGGAGCAAACGCAGCTCAGATTTCTGCTAACAAAGTTGAGCTCTTGCTCGGGGGGATCCCGAGGAAGCCGCCAGGTCGTTGCCTTGCTCTGCTGTGTGCAAGGAGGAGGCTGGGCACCAGGGCAAAGGAGGCGGCCCCCGTTCCCAGGAGGAATTCTCCTAGGCAACTAAACAACTCCCAGACACGGCTGCCAAGACAGCCCGGAGCGCTGCTGACTCAGCACACAGGCATCTCCTACACCCCGATCCACGATCCGCGGCGTTCCCGAACAACGGAAAAAGCGCCCTGACCCCCTCCCAGCGCTTCAGACCGACGGTGCCGATGTTTTGTTTCAGCGACTGCTCTAGCACCGCTATCAACCCCAAGGTTTTAATCAGCTTTTGGCAGCCGCTTCCATTATCTCCCTTCCTTTTTTTGGTCTTTAGGGTATTTTTTCCTGCCCTTCATTCTTCCAAGTCACGTGCCCAAGGCTGAAGTGCACAGGAATTCAAACCAGGAACCCAATTGCATGTTGAGAACTGATAATCAATGCCATGTTTGTTTTTTCTTACATGATTATCCCTTTTAATGAAGCACATTTTGGTTATGGAGGATAAATTTGCTTTGGGTTAAGGTGGGGGCTGCTCTTTATTTTCCTCTCAAATCAGAGATAGGAATTACAGTATGACCACTGGCACTAACCTCTTTTTCCATAGCAACACTAAAGAGAACATAAACTATGAGTCATATTTCTCTCTGGAGGACTTTTTTTCCTAATTATGATCATTGCACAGGTCTCGAAATACATGAGCTGATGCACAGCTCTGCTCCAGCAGCTTTGACTCCCCTCCTTCCGCAGACTGAGCCGAGCTCTTCCCTGTCGCTGCACAGCTCCCAAAGGCTCCTCGGCAATGTTTCCCTTGTGAAGCAGGATGGTTTCCTCTCTTTCAGTAACCTCAAGTGAGTAAATTGGGGTCTGACAGCATTGATGGATCCAAACTGGAACCCATATTATACTTGGTTGCAGCAAGGTTGCCCCTAACGCAGCTACTCTGCCATCAACAGCCTTAGCTTTGCCCACATTTTTTCTCTCCGAGAGCATAGCTGAAATATTCAGCTCAAAATAAACTACAGCTAAACATCAGTAATAACTGCAATCCACTTCCTTAAGTAAGAGGCGGTTTTTGGAACAACTTTTAGTCCTACAGCGCCTTGGAATATCTCAGCAGATGATCACACCAGATGATTATCACAGGAAATTATAGGACGTTTTGTGGCTGTTTCCTACGTTTTCCTTGCAACACAATCTGCTGCGCACTTGTGCGGAGCGCTCCGAACACCCGCAGTGTTGGCTACAGGAGCAGAACAAGGATGGGAGATGAGCAAAACCAGGGATTACCCACTCGCCATCGGCAGCCACGAGGCAGCACGGAGACGACGCTCATGTCACTCGTAGAGGAGAAAAGGAAGAGGACAATGCACGTAAAAACTGGCAAAGGAGACATGCACGTGGCTCCTATTTGTTAGGACAGACACAGCAGATTTCTCTGGTTTTGCAAACAGGCTTTCAGGAAAGTGAACGCAGCTCTCCCCCTTCCCTGGGACTCATGATCCAGCTTTGCCAAGAAACCTGCTATTCTGGGACACGATGTTTACGTCGTGCCGAGGAGCCGCTCCACTCCTGTGTATCTGCAGAGAACCCGCTGTTCTGCCTGGCCTTCCTCAGGCTCCCGCCTCAGCTTCGCACCAACCGGGCGGATTTTGCGTGATGTGGGCACACAACTGTCTGATTTCAATTCTCAGTCACACATAGAACCATAAAAGTTGGAAAAGACCTTCAAGATCAGCGAGTCCAGCCATGAACCCTTCACACCATTTGTGCTAAACTGTGTCCCTAAGTGTCTCATCTACACGTTTCTTGAGCAGTGATTCCACCACTTCCCTT